ACAACTAAACAGGATGGTTAGACCTCAATGGCTATAAATGGCTGTGAGTAATCAGTCGCCATCCTTTGGTTTAAGGGACTGGATGGGACTGTGCAGCTGCCCATACACATGGAGGTGGCTCCCAGCCATCCATGGAGGCTTTGCTCAGTGGTGCACAATCATCAGTTTATCTGCAAAACCAAGTGTAAGCTTTTTAATGCACAGCCTTGGAAACCTTGAAGATGGCACGAGAGAAGCATAAAAAAATTAGCAAAATATGTGGTTAGAACTGATGCAGTTTCCGCTGTTTCTTATTTTTTTCTTTTTCCAAACTGTTTGTTCTGTGAGAGTGAACACTATGTAGTGAAAAAAAAAAAAAAAATAATTGAGAAAAGTTTTTCTTGGCAAAAAGAAAGCATTTTAAAAGCAGCAGAAGATGAAATGTCATGGCAGCTGTTGGACTGTTGTTGCTATGGTAATCATAACACAACACTTCAGAGAGGCACATGATGGAGATTCTGGGTAAGAGTCGGGGGTGGGAGGTGGAAGGGCAGGTTGTTGTTTCTTGAGAAAGTTTTAAAGCCCCAGTGCAGAGAAGGATCTGGCCTCTTTAAAGGATACTGTATGCTGAGTTTTCCATTAAAGTGTGTTCAGATGCACATTTTGCAGCTTTGAAAAATGCTTCCCTTAAAATTAGTAATGGGCACTTCTTGCTGAAAGAGTCCTTGTAGGACCAAAGGATGACTCCCTTAATATGGAATCTGAGCCTTCCAAGTCTTTTATGTACTGACGTACACAACACCCAATGCAACAAGGAAGTTTTTTATTTCCATTTTTTCATGGGGACCAAGAGGTGTGAATGTATTAAAAACGTGGGTATTTTTAACTCTGCATCACCTACTGCAGGTACTTCCAATGAGGTGAGACAATCCATGCAGCATTGGAGGCTGGCAATGATACCCAGATATGGGTCCAGCCCTGGTTTCTTTGTGAGACATCCCTAAGTGCCAAGCACATCAGCCTCTGCCTCCCAGAAAGTTCTAACTACTCACCTAGTGAGTTAAGTTCACCCAAGTTTCTATTTCTGCAGATAATGACATGAAAGAAGCACATTGAATGCGAGGCAGAGATTTCCTTCCTGCTCTCCTCCACTTCCCACTAACCAGAAGCGAGTCCTAAATACGGCCATTTTTTGAAAAGGCAGAAACTAGTCTGTTTCTTCCTGCTTCTGAATAAAATACCATGGAGTGAGACTGTGGAACAATTCCTGGTGGAGTTGACTGAGGATATGTCCAGGTAGAAGAGTGCGGATGGGTGTGACATCAGCTTTTCCCTTGCTCTGAGCTGCTGGCTCACTGCAAACAAGGACATTCCAGCATGGTGTTTGTAGCATTCCTTTGCACCTTTTGTCTGCTATGATTATTTTGACTAGAAACTCCTTCACTCCTTCATGTGGTGCTGAGGGGTGAGGGGACTGGCTTCTATTACATGTGTGCACAGCATTGTGTGCTTCTGAGGTGTTTTGCATGTCATGGGTACATGTCACCAACATCACCATTGCAAACAATGCAAATAATGTGAAATATTATTTCAGTGTTGAAAGATACAAATCACCTAGGATTACACACTGACTGTTTATCCTTTGTCTTTCTAAAAAAGACAAATCAAGATCAACTTATTTCACATGAGTAACTTTGAACAGGAATAACAGATTGGAATCTTGTAAGCAGGCTTCACAAGGACAGATTTTCTTATTTCTTTCAGAGCTGTTACCAGTTTCATCAGGTGCCGTACCACACTCAGAAGTCATGGTGACAAAATCTCCATTTTGTCTGTCAGTCTGGTTTGCAGGGCTGAGACCTCAGCACCCGGTCTCAGCACTTCAGCCTCAAAATTCTGGAGTAATACATACATAAAGTAAATTCCAAAGCAAACCCACAAAACCTAGAAGGAAGAGATTTAAATCCTGTAATTGCCCAAAGCTTTGCTAATTGTGAGACCTCCAGCTGTGATAAAGGAAATTGATTTCATCAGTTGTCAGTCACCCTTTTTTTATTAATGATCAGAAATTCATGTCTCCTCCAGGCAGTGTAAAGTTCTTCTCTGCTCTGCTCCTGCCTGTCATGCTGAAAGGTTTGTCCGCAGCAAACCATTGCATGTTACATGGTGATTTCTCTCATGGTTTCTCCTGCTGGGATCACGCTGAGATGAACCCTTGTCCTAGTGACATCATTCGGAAGTTTCTTGTCAGGCTTGTTTCTTCACCCCTTCAATTATTAACTAATATATCTGACTTCTGGGACAGAATTTTCCTGTGCTGTGGCTAAACTGGCTTCTGTTAAACACAGCTCGACAGCTACATTGCCCTGAAAGTGTGTGGTAAGTGTAAAGAGTAGTACAGAGAAGAGGTACTACACCAACAGCTTCTTAGAAGGAAAGAGTTTGCTTCTTTCACATTTATGTGACAATGATTTAACAATACCCATTTTGCCAGCAAAGGTGTTGGTGGTTTTTGACTGTCAGTGTAGCAGGAACTGTTCCTCTCCATCTCTACCTTACTGCAGGGAAAAATTATCTCTTATGAAAGCTGACAAAAGGTGAAATATTTCTGGCTGTGTATCCATCATTGCTTGGTCATTAGGTCTTCAGTTTCAGATAGATGTCTATTGACAAACCTTGGCACTGCTCTTGGAAAAGTGAGAGGTCTTAAAAATAATTAAAAAAAAAAAAAAGTAAACGAGACTAGGTGTGTTCTTCCTCTTCAATCTGAGCGAATGGTACTGGTACTGCTGGATCTAAATGGAGGCAAAGCTGTACCGGACTTCGCAATTGTCACACTGGACTTTGTTCTCAGTGGAAGCAGATCATTTTAAAATTTACTTAGGAAAAAATTCTGAAAAAAAAAAAAAAAAATGTTGGGAGTCAGATGAGATTTTTGCCTAGACATTGACTTTTCATGGAATCTTAGAATGGCCTGGGTTGAAAAGGATCATCATGATCATCTAGTTTCAACCCTCCTGTTATGTGCAGGTTTGCCAACCACCAGACCAGACTGCCCAGAATCACATGCAGCCTGGCCTTGAATGCCTTCAGGGATGGGGCACCCACAATCTCTCTGGACTCTCTTGTCTCTTGTCTACTGAATTCAGACTTGTCCATCTAAGTTTTAGACATCTGCAGTAAGGATGATGAATCCCCATCACTGAAGTCTGATAGAAAAATTGGTATTGCAGTGCACAAGTTCTGCGTTTAATCAATGTTCCTATGAATAATTGTTGGGTCACATCTTCAGTGTTTCATGCAAAAATACTACTGACTCTGGCACTGGAGAATGATTGCATAGGAATGAATGGATGAAGTGGGTCTTCGGATCTGCACTGTCCATGTGAAACAGCGCTATTTATTAATTTTGAAGATTAATTAAGGCCTTGTGAATGATGACCTGTGAATTTCACTGCCTTATTAAGAATTTATTTGTGGAGAACATATCTTTATCTAATCTCAAGCTCTTAACATCTTGGAGAAGCTCAATGTATTTTAATGTAACATTTGAATCATAGCTGCTCAAGTGAAAATATTACTTTTATGAAAAGAATATATGAAGGAAATGCATGATGTGGAGTCCCACACAGCTGCAGCAGTGAGCCTCTGGGGTCGCTACACACATACATACGTCCAAAAAAAAAGGAAAAAGAAAAAGGGATTTGAGTGCTGCCTTTTATGATGTGCAGAAAGCTTCTCTGGAAAGCTCATGTAATGAATGCTGTGCAGTTCCAGGAACAGTGTTGTGGCAAGAAGAACGTTTCTTGTAGTTTCTCATCACTGTGTGACCTTGATATGTTTTATTATTTTAAACACTTAATTGTGTTATTCAAAACCTCTTATAATTACTCAGTTCTCTAGAGGCATACTTAGGGCTTTTGCACAACAGTCCTAGGTGGATCCTGAAGAAATTATTGAGGAAATCCTGTGAAATACTATATTGTAGAAGCACTCTACGGGTTAGTTATAATAACTACAGGAATGCGCATAACATGCTAGCTTACTGCTTCTTGATGCCTGCAGTAGGAAATCACAGCTCCGCAGAGGCAGTACGAGGAGTGCAGTACTGCAGCCCCTGCCAGAAGTGTTTTGTTCCGCAGTTCTACCCGAGCGTTGCTCTTCACCTGAGGCCATGTCTGGCAGTACCAGAGTCCAACTACAGTGCAGACAGACAGAGGTCAGCAAACAGAAATGCTAGTCCTTACAGCTGTTGGATGGCTCTTTGGGTTGAATTAACTTTTTTTTTTCTTTTTTTTTTTTTTTTTTCTGTTCTTAGATGCAGCTGTAGTTTCAGACATGTACTAAAAATTAATAAAATGTAAATTACAAGTAAATTCTAGTCTTTTTTTTTTTTTTTTTTTTTTTTCTTTCCTCACCTGCTTGTTTGGATTTATGGAGTAATTTCTGTATAACCTTCTTGTAGAACTTCACACTGTTCTGTGTATTTGAAAAGTTTTTCTTTGTTCTGCTTAAAAACTTGGAGTGGTACAAAACAAGCATAGCATTTTGGCGTCCACAGCTCCTTCTCCTGGAAGTGCCACTTTGTGCAGGCAGGAAGCCCGGTGTCCCTTTGAAGAACGTCTGCAGGGGAGAACAGATATTTTTAGAGGCACCCTCCAGCAATGAGCAGTTCATTGCCAGCTTATCTCTGTGTTTAAACAATAATCAACCTCTTCCGCTCTCAGTTGGTGATTCACAGTAATTTTGTCTTATACGGGCTCTAGACAAGATGAAGGCAGCTGCATACATTTGATCAGACTCTCACATTAGCTGGATTCTGACAGGCTGGCACTGTCCTCTTTTAGCAGTGTCCTTTGTGCATACAAATGTGCTGGCAAAGGATTTCCTGAACCGCGTGGCTGAGTATGACCAGCATGGGAACGCTCCTACCACAGGGAGTGAATCGGTGCCTTGCCTACAAGGTCCAGACAATTTTGTTTCCTGTTTCGGGCACTGCACTGGAAACATGATACATCCAGTTAATCTTCAACGGGCGATTTCAGACATTATAGGTCCACTTATACCTTGTGATGAATTACTGCAGTGTTTGGCAAATATTAAATAACATTTTTTTGTTGACATGGAAGTGTGACCTGCAGGCTGCAGCTGGTCCCAGTGTTCGGCACTGTTTGTGTCCTGCCGTCTGGTTCTTCCTCCCTCTGTTCACTTGCTATTGAAACACAGCTGGTTTACGTCCATCACAATCAATGGAAGGACATTTCCGAGCTGGTAATTGCTTAAAGGATCCGGTGCTGATGGCTTCTGGAGCTGCCAATCCAGGGAGCAGCTTTTGGCTCCTGCTGTGTACAGTATGTCTGCCGTTTGACCATTTATCTCACTTTACATACTTGAATTGAAAGAAAGGTTTGTGCAATGACTTGCTCTCATTCCCTGGCTTGTCTTCCTCCCCCTCCTCTTCTCCTTCCCTCCCTCTCTTGCATGTTATCAGCTATTGCAACAGTACTAAAATGTGTTATATAAGGTGAATGATAGTGCCTAGATCCAAAATAATGCTAATGGAGAACTGAATCATTGTATAATATGTGACTTTGAAATAGTCATTTGTTTATGATTATAGGAAAAGGTATGTAGTTATACTGGCTGTATTTTAATTGATTGCTATTGATCCAGGCTTTGATTGTCAATTGCAGGTACAGAAAATACATTTGGCTTTTTCACTGTCATTTTCGTAAGCTCAGAGTTTTCTCTGCTAAGGAGATACAGGAGGTGAAGGGACCATGAAGCCAGTCTTCTTCTGTATGTGCTTGAATAGCATCAATTACAATATCACAGGATAAAAATATTTGGTGGGATCCAATCTGCAGATCCTGTTTATTTTAGGACTTCCATTTCTAGAAGCCACTCTTGTTAATCCTGTAGGCATCTAAATTCACTCAGCCACTAAACCTCACTACCTAGCTGAAAGCTCCTTGGGTTTGTGGTTTTATTCACTTGTAAAAGCTCATATTGCTGCTGTGAGGAAATTGGTCTATCTGTCATCCAAAGCAGTTTGTGACTCAAGCTGAGGAAGACAGTACTCAAACGCTGCTCCCTTACCCACAAAACCAAACCAAACCAAAACAAAACCCAATAACAACAACAAAAAACCTTAAAAAAAAAAGACCAACGAACAAATTAAAAAAAAAAAAACAAAAAAACCACCAACAACAAACAAATAAACAAAAATCAAAGTGAACCAAACCTGAAAAATGAGGTTTTATCAAACCAGTAATTAGTTTCCTTTGACATAATGACACTGCCCATGTGTTGCTGAATAGCTGGGTGTCTAACATGCTAACATAAGAAGGGCAATGCTGAGTGGTTAGCACACTGACAGAAAACTGACAACGGAAGGGAAATGCTATTTATCAACTTTCTTTCATCTCAAAGGCATGTGGATTCTTTAGAGCTCTTACTGGAGACCCAGTTAATTGCAACATGCATCTCCATTAGATTGGATTATCAGTAGATAAAAAAAGAAAAAATGCATTGAGAGCATTTGTCTACTTTTTCCCCTTCCACTCCCCAGTGTTTCTTAAGCTATACAGGAAGGAAGTTCCCAAAAGAAAAAATTTACTCTTTTTCCTTCCTTTGCTTTTTCCCTTCCCCTTCCCATTCCCCTTCTTCGCTCCATCACAACTTTAATGATTTTGCTCACTTCAATGCATATCAATTCATAGATATTTGTACAGGGAGGAATGCTATCTTTCTGCTTTGACATCTGTGTTTTATCTCACCTGTTTCTCATGACTACTGCCACCCTTTTGCTTCCCAAGCTCCTTGGAGACTGCATATAAATCCAAATGGACAAAAAGCATCATAAAGCATCTGATTTCTTCAAGTCAGATACTGAGAAAGCTCTGATATGTAGCTATCAGATAACTGGAAGTAAAAGAACTCCCACCTCTACAGAATATAGAAAGTTCCTAATAATTTCTCTTATTTTTTGATTTTATACATTCAATGAGGTGTCACCAGATAGCAGGAAATGTATTTAGCTTCCCCCACCCTACTTTTCTCCTCAAAATTTTCATCATTAATCCATTATGTCAGTTCTGTTCTGGGTGTAGGATAGATCATGCTTGACAGAGAAGAATGCTTTTTTTCTTTACAATAGACTGGATTTAAACAACTGCTATTCAGATCTGTAGAAATCTCAATCCATGTATACTAAACCCCTCTATCTGGTTGTGTTGTGGTTTGCACATACATAATATGGCAGAATACTTGAAGGTAAGAAAAAAAGTATGACAATCTGTTTCCTTTACAAGGAAGAGCCCGGGAAGAAAGAAGCTCAGCTCAGAGATGCAGCAGAATGGAATCCATTCTTAGTTTAGTTGCATGAACATGGCCAAAAAAATAATAAATACATTTTGGAATGACTTTCTGGCTCAAAACTGTTTAGTTATTGAAATGTGTCCAAGCAATATGGAAGGGGATTAGCAGTTAATTTGACAACTGGCAGAAATACCTCTGTGATACAATCTATTTCTAGTTATTCTTAAATTATATATATATATACATGCCATCTCTACTAAAGTGTGTTCTTAAAGAAAAAGTCTTCAAAAGAACAGGACTAAACATGAGCAAAGAACTTTCTTGCTGACTTATTAGCAATGCCCATCAGTTTCGTATTGGCTGCAGATGACTACAGATATAGTGCAGTAGAGCAAATCAGACCATAGGAGAGTATCTACAATAATTAAACCTGTAGGCAACAAGGCAAAAGATAACTGTCACTTATACTTAGCTTTTAAATAGGAATTGAAACTTGCTAACTCATGTTTTTAACAGGACAGAGAAGACTGAAATTCAAGAACTTTTAGTATTATCTGGGGCAGTCACGTTCCTGCAATTTTATAGTCTTTTTACAGAAAATTTCTGTTTTCCTGAATTTTATAGGAGTAGATGTTTGAGTAGAGAAAATATCATAGCAAGAACACTTATAGGGTGCATGTTCAATTATAGTGAACAAATTTCTACATTCAAATGTAATAACAATTTGCTGTCAAAAGATTTTGTAGGAAAATGTGTGTGCACTTAACAGACAACCTTCATTTATTTCTGTTAAAATAATAATTGTAGAAGTGACATGGGCACAGCAACATGCAGGCTTTAATAGTCCAAGATATCATGGGAATGCCTTTCTCTCAGTGCAAAGGTAGAATTACCATTTTCCCCATAGTTTGAATCTTAAATTAAGATTTGTGAAGTGTAGATTTCCTACTGTCTGGGATACTTACCTGATGGAATAGAAATGTTTGCCTGCTTTTGCAAGATATAAAAAACATTAATTGAATATGAAATTTGCCAAACTTTCCTACGATTTATAAGAAAAGTGAGTGAACAGATTAGAAGAGAGACAAATGTCATTCATAGTTTAAGTACTCCTGAGCTGCAACACAATTCTGCAGAATTTATTTTAGCCAATAGTGTTTCTAAGACAGTCATTGTAGATTTGGTCTTATCCTACACCAAACAAACAAGTTCACAAATATGATGCATTTATCTGAAGATTAAAAGAAGAAACCCTGAAAATGGCAGTGCCTTAATAAAACTACAATAATGAAAAAGGAACAGTAGGAACTGATCTTCCTGTTTGCAGCAAACAGCAGGTGGACTAATGCATCTAAGCTCCTTACATGAAATAAAAAAAGATAAAAGCTCGTTCTGAATTGTGCGCATTTCTCTTCTATTTCCCAGAATAAACAGTGTAAATCTGTGTCAGACACCAGATGTCCATCACATTACAGCATGGTGGTCTAATTCCAAATATCTGAATGTTGCATGGATGCGTGATGTGAGTACGATTGAAGTTTCTTATTCCTTAATAAATGAATAAATAAGACAAATCAGCAACTGGATTGTGCCACTTCTTAAGCAGTGCTGATTCACATGAAAATACTCAAAATGATAAATGACGCCTTCACTCTGACCACTAATTCTGTGGCAAATAAAGAGGACAAAAAGGAAATAGTCACAGATGAATGCATGATTCAGATTCGTCAAATTCAAGTGACAATCTCAACATGCCTTGGTGATGAATAAAACAGAGACTTTATGTCTTAAGGAAATAATTCAGTCACTGTCATCTTAAAGGCCCATACTCTTGTAATCCTTGTCCTGCAAGATGATTGCAAGATAATTAAAATAGTATGTTAATTCATAACTGCAAACCTTTGTATCAGAGAGGAAATAACTAACAATTATATAATCTGTGATTGTACATACTCATAGAGTATGGCTGTATTTATATCACAAATTCTTGGGTATCTTTCAGACTTTTGGGTGGTACATGGAAGGGCAAAGACACAAAAGTGAAAATAACATCAAAGACAGAATAAAGGGAACAATGGAATTTAAAAAAAATCAACTGTGTGGGACAGTACCAGAGGTTCTTTTATCCCAGTTTCTTCTGTCTTGCATGCATTCATATTTGTTTATTTTGTTTGATGCAGATAAATGCATCTTATTATGGTTTTTTTTTAGTATAAAGAAGCATAAAAGACCCTCCAGAATTCCCTGCTCAATATTATCTACTCTTCACACAAGGATATATTGCGAATTTATTGTTCATACCGAGCAGTATGAAATCTCTAACTGTTCCCTTTTCTTTCGGTTTAGTTAGCAGATGTAAGACATAGTTTTCTGATCAAAGGTTTGATGTTTGATATCTTTACAATAAAAATATACCATACATGCTTACAATTTTTTTATAGCTCACGTTTAATTTCATTTTCTCTTTGCCCCTTAAAATTGGCCTCACAAAAGTGATTTTGAAACCCATAGTTTACTGTTTCATACAGTCAGAAAATTTTGCTGAAAAGAAAAAATAATGAGTGGCAAACTTAATTTTCATTTGTTATGCCCTTATATATAGTATCTCATCTGCTTGACTAAGTCATTAACACTATGAGTTCATAAATAACATGAACAACTTGCTTTTTGAGAGCATTTTCGATGTAGTCCAGTCAGGCTGAATTCAAAACATTCCTAGAGCTCTAAAAATATACATACTCATGGTTTCTCCTGTTACAGATTGGTTATTACACTTGATACTAAGATCTACACACTAGCAGCTCCAACATGGAATTTTATTACTCATTTGTTTATCTTTGGCTCAGATTTAGACACAATAACACGGGCTAATAACTGCCTAGTTTTGCTTGCTGTCATAGAGCATTTTCTGTTCTGTGCTGTGATAGTACAAAAAATAAATAATAGTAACATTGATTAACTCTGATGGCAACAAGGTCAGACTGTGCAATTCAATGGACTCTTCATAAATATGCTTCTCAGCATTTTAGAGGCTTAAATTCATTTTCTCCTTCGCTATTGTTTCATCCAGATTTATTGTACATCTATTTCTGGAAAGCTTCCTTTGGCATCCTAACAGTAATTTCCATTGTTTAATTCTACTATTACTGCATTTTGGAAAGAAAAATCAAACAAGAATATACGTAAGTTTTATCTTCATCTTCCTTTTTACAAACTCTTTGAAATATCAGAACTTATTTTCTTTTTGCTTGAAAACAGCAGGATGAACACAGGTAGAGCCTACTTCTCATCTTAAGTTTTCAGTTTGTCAGTGTAACATCTTCAGCATCAGTACTTGACTAGCAAGATAACAGATATTACCTACTACTTTAATTAAGACATCTGTTTTTCTTCCAAGAGCACTGAAAACTTTCTAATCTTTGGGGGGTGAGGGGGGAAAAAGAAGAATTAAAAAAAGCTTATGGGTCTCTTGTTACTTTGACCATTGAAAGAAGCTTGGGACTTTTCAAACTCACTGCTCATTCAGGTATCTAGTGCATATGAAAACTTTAACTGGGCATTTAGTCCAAGGGATAGGCCATGTTTAAATGTTACAGTGTACAAGTATGTCACTAAAATTCAGAGTCACTAACCTGAGAACATGGACCATGAAAGTAAATTGATCGATTGCACCTGAATGAGAATGGTTTGCAAGTTTTTCCATCAGTAAAGGAAATGATGAAATCTGTCTTATACATTTGTTCCCTACTTCCTTGCACCCTCGCAGTTAGAACACTTAGTGGAACACAGTTTGCAATTCTGACTGTAAGTTCAAAAAGCTTATAAACAAGCCTGGTTCCTTTTCTGCATCTACTCTGGGACAAGATGTAGCCTATGGTGTCTGATTTTGGTCTCTCCACGCATTCGTTGGCTGGATAAGTACAAGCCAAACACTCAGGTAAACAGTGAAACCCCATAATCTTTAGTAGGAAACCCATCTGGAAGACAAGTGGAAGAATGGAGAAAAATGGAAAGCTTATAGACTGAGTTGCTTATGTGTCTTGATATCTGAATGTGCTGTGATCATCAGATGTGATACACATACCTTGGTGGCACACGTATCTTTGTCTAGCATGGCACTATCCTCAAATCACCCTTGTGGTAGAAAGAAAGGTGATGGTAGCAGACACCAAGAAATTCTGGGTCCAACTGGTCTGGGCCAGCAAGAGCAACATTGTAGATGACACCACTCATGTCCAGCAGATATGATGTGTACAATCTTGAGGAATCCAACATATATATGTTTCCAGCAGTCTCTAATTTCTCACTGATCATTCTAGGGTAAAGTGATCCTCTATATCACAAAACAACTTGTTGCCAACTCACTGTTCTAGTAATCTCAGAAATAATGTGTCAAAAGGGCAGCTTCTCAGTTTCAAGGTTCAGACAGCCTCTATTTTTTGTCTGAGCATCCCGATTCTGCAAGGGAAACCTGCTCAAATGCTGAAGAAGCCTCTGAGCATTTCAGCAAGTTTACTAGCCTGTATGGCCAATCGACCATGACACAATCACCTGCCATTTAGATGTTTTGTGTGCTGTAGCATGGTTTTCCCCTTAGTCGTGATCTTTTCTAAACAGCAGTCTTTGCATAAATTCAAGTTATGTCACGTCTGTGGGCACAGTTGTCTGAACTCGTTGGAACTGCTGCCTTTATGTGCCTTACTAGGCAATTATCTCACTGACATTCATGTCGCTCCTTTCTGGAATGTGGAATAAGACTGTAAAATGACTTCACTCACGTTGCTAAGAAATAGAAGCACTGAACCCCTGATTGTCCTTGCAGATTAACTGCTGGCTCACTTTCTGAGCCCTCTCTTGTCTGGGCTAAATAGCTTCAAGCTCTCTCAGCCTTTCCTCATAGGAGAGGTGCTCCAGTCCTTTGGTCATCTTCGTAGCCCTATGCTGGACTCTACAGTACGACCATATCCATCTTGTACTGGGTAGCCCAGAACTGGATGCAGTTCTGCAGATACAGGCTCATTAGTGCTGTCTAGGGATGCAAGATCACCTCCCTTGACCTGACAGCAGTAGTCTTTCCAAAAGTCCAGGAGGCTGTCTTTGCTTTAAGAGCACACTGCTAGCTGTCAACTCTGTGTCCATCAGTAACTTGAGGTTTCCAGTCAGGTGGTCCTCAGGGTATTAATGCCTACAGTTATTCCTCTCTAGATGCAGGACTTTGCATTTCCCTTTATTGGACTTCATGAGATACACTTTTACCCCGTTCTCCAGTTTGACAAGGTTCCCCTGAGTGGTGGCACACTCCTTGTATTGGCCACTCATCTCCTTTTTTATGATGTTGGTGGTGATTCTTTATTTTTTTTCATCTGCCTACTCTCGCTAGGTTATTAATGAAAAGATTGAACAGTGTTGTTCCTAGTATTGACCCCTGGGGTACATCAATGGTGACATTTCTCCACCTGGACTTAGTGCCACTGATCACAATCCTCTGATCCTGAATATTCAGCCAGATTTCAATCCACCTCACCATCTACTTATTTCACCTGCACTTTATCAGCCTGTCTATGAGAATGTTATATGACATGATGTCTAAGCCTTATTGAAGTTGAAGAAAAAACACCTACTGCTAGCTCTATCAAAGTCAGTCCTTCTACATGATGCGAGTGATTGATCATTCAAGAACTTTTGTGTGTGTGTTTGTCCATCAGCAAGATGCAGCCAATTACCTTCTTCAAGATTGCCTCTAACAGATTCTTATTGAAGGCTACAAAAATATCTTCTTTTTTTCTGTTTTTGTTTTTATATGAATGATAGGTGTATCTCCTAACCACAAAATCTAGTCCAGTGCAGTTTTGTCCACTGATATGTACCGTACCATTAACATTTTTAAGATAGTCAAGTTCCAAATCATGCACACATAATTGAAAAAATCCACTTGGTATTCCTAGGGATATTTTCTGGATACCCTCCACAGCATTTTTAGCTATCTGTGGCCTACCCAGACAAAGTATTGAACATTTAAATAAGACGATGAACAAATTTTTCATTTTTCGGAGCACAAAATTTTTTAGGCCATGCACACACCCCTAACTTTTCATTTTTTGCCTTTTCTGTTGTCTGAGAATGACAGTGTGGAGACACTTATGGACAAACGAGAAGTGAGTATTCTGCAATGAATTTTACTCTTTTCAATAACATGCTTCATGCTTTTATCTTATTCCCATTTTTGTACTGTAATGGTCTCACTCATGTCTTTCCCTCTACTATTCAGCCAAGCAGGCCATGATGGTCCTGACCCTTCTGTGGTTCTAATTCTTTCCCCAAAATGTTATTCTTCTTTGATAGAGTTTCTATCCAGTTTATTACAAAATGTTATTTCTATTTAGAGAATATCTTTGGTTACTTCTGTCACTGCTCAGATTCTCTGATTATGGTCTTCAATTTGTTTTTCCTTGGACCAAGACACTATTTACATACACCTTATCATCAAAATATTTACTAATTTTCATTGAAAAACAAAAACAAACAAACAAACAAAAACATTACCCAATGCAAGCTAGATCATGGTTTATTTTTCAGAAAAGACTGATCAATAAAGACAAATATTTTGCTGTGTCTCCAATAGCAGAAAAATATTTGATATCAATAGCACCTCAAAAAATTTACTTTGCAGAAAAAAAATTACTTTTTTTTTCTACATTTATTGATTATTCTGTGCCTATACACGACTGTGTCTGCCATTTCTCCCTGTAGTGGTTTCTTTATGTTTTCTCTACTGTCTGGTATGTAGAGGAGTTAGTCTTCCTCTGATTTTGCACAAAGGGAACTTTCACAGTAGCTAGTTTACCTGTAATGGGTAGATTACATACCTGAGTTTAATCTGCTTCCTTTCTTCAGCCTGGACTCTTCTTATGGTGCTACTGCCATTGTTTCTGACTTCATATTAATCTGTATACCCACCCACCTTAATCATGATATCTCAACTGCTTTCATAATCTTCTGATGTTCTGCTATGATATAAGCAAATGCTCCATTAGGAAATACCATTTGAGGTTGTACTGCTGTTGCCATATTTGTTGCCCAAGCAATGAAACTGCTACCAGCATTTGGACAGTTTTGCAAAATAATGTTCTCCATTGCAATCCTAGCTTTTCTACAAGGTGCCAAAGATTTTCTTGGCTTACTGTATTTAGCAGTATGTATTTAGCATATTGAAGTTTTGGGACTTAAAGAAATTCAAGGAGTACAGATATAACTTAGGGATGTGTGACAAGCGAACATG